CTCTGCAAACTGTCCTTAGGCATGCTTATTGTCGTCAAAATAATCGCGTTCATATGAGTAATAAAGCGTTTTAAAACAGCAATGGAACTTCCCAGGTGGTCTAAATTTCCGGAGCCCTCCACTACGGTGTCTCTTATAACCATATAGTGCTTTTGAGATGTTAAACCCCGCATATCAAACAATCAATCAGCAATAGAACAATCAGGTGTCACATAATGCAAATTCCGCAAAGAGGGGGTCGTCGAATCATCCAACCATTTACAAAAGCTCGACATTGTTCACAAGTTAACTGTGGCGCATGCCCACTGTTGGGGATTGTGGTGATTGCAAGACCTTCTGCCATAAATCCTCATCGCCGTCAATCATAGCACGAAAAGTTGCACAAAGTTTCTTGCAAGTGTGCAGCAGGTACCACGCTTCTCCGAATAATGACGAAGGATGGCAAAGTGAATGCCTGCCTACTACACAATGATTAATGGCGTATACTAGACACCCTGCAAGAGTGCGTGATAGTTACTGAAGAGCGTTTAATAAAGGCTCTGAAAGTCCACTTATCCAGATTCAATGCGATAGTGCTACGCGTTCCACGCAGGCCTGGCGTGTTTTTTTTTTGTTTTTTGTGAACTGTATTCAAGTTAGACCCACTTTTGGCATGAACCCGAGAAGGGCCTGTAGTAGTATGAAATAAATAAATGAATGGATGTATAAATAAATATTTAGAGAAACAAAAAACAAATAAATAAAGTTTATGCTTTCATAGGTTACGTTTCAGTTTGTGCAATTTCAGGTAAAGTTCCTGAAGCCGGGCAGCTGGCGGCCGATTTTACGTCATATATATTTTGAAGAGAAGTGCACGTCGCTATTTTCACTGTGCAAAATGGTATGAGCCCACCGAGAGGATGATTTTAATAGCTTCGGGAACAATAAAATCCTTTCGAAGACGTATGTGTGGAGAGTCTTGAATGGGCCGAAAGGTCCAGGCCTCATGCAGGCCAGTTCCCGACAAAGGAATCACGGCTTCTGTGGACAATGGAAGGTTCATGGCCTTATCTTTGTTTCTGCGCGCGAGCCAGCCGGCAGCAGGCGGACAAAGCAGTTGAGTCGCCCGGAGGAAAGTGCGAACAAAAACGTGGGCGTGCTTCCAAGAACGGTTCGCAAGGGGGAAATACTATGTGGAAGAGGGGCCCAGTATTTTGCCGCCAGGAGAGAACACCGAGAGTTCCGCAATTTATTAAACGTGGCGCAAGGAAGCAGTGCTGCAAGGTCCGCAGTATCAATTGACGCCGTTGTCTTATTTGTGCTTTTTACCGTTTCTATACATCCATCTGTCTCAGCCACAACGAGGCACACAGACCCACTCAAACAAGCACGCTTGACCGATTACGCTACTGAAAGACGGACGCACAAAGTCGGGCTTGTGCGTTGTATTGGTAAAGAATGCATATCAAATCGTAGGAGATCGAATAAAAGAAAACTAAATATTTATAGGTAAGATAGATTAAAATGCGGCAAAATTTTTATTATAGTGGATATTTGTTTTTATTTCACTTCTTAATATTAAACATCAATGCTAAAACTTCACTTTGAGTACAGTGTATGTGCCACATAAATATTGCCATGGTGCCTCCACTGAAAACTATATTTTCTAAAAAATGCTCCAGATGTCTCATTTTGCCCCCATCTGTGGGCAAAACGAGACAGCGTGAAAAACTTCATTGCTTTAGTTTTTGCAGTAGAATGATTTGAGCCTTACTTGGCCATTACACAGTCTTAAGTAACCGAGTACTTCGACTACACGCATCGGATCTAGACAGAACGCGGTGTTGTGTTGCTCTGAAACTCCTTGCAGATCTAATACTGCCACTCTTTCTTTGTATTATAGTGTTATAATTCATTGAACTCTTGCACCTCATTGGATTACTCTACGATTAGAGGCTACATATGTTTTGACGTATCTCCTTCACCTCTTTTTGCCGTTTTGATGAGAACTGCTCAGGCGTTTTATGGCTTTTAACTTCATGCGCCGGAGTCTGTGAGGCAATGATTTTAAAGCTGTGCCAATTTAAGATTTTCAAGCACTTATTTTTTTTCAATGAGAGTATTTGGAGAAACGGCGGTAAAACCAAGATGTGTATGTGAAATGACTTGACTCGGAGATTCCGCCATTTTGATGCGTCTCTTGAGAGAATCCTTGGGAACACGTGAAACCTCGATGCAGCGCGAATCCAGGGAGTCATGTCGTATATAGATTAATATAAATTTTATGAGTGTCTTTAACTGTTCAATTATTAGGACACTGTCTAAGGCGATCAGATGCGATTTTATCGTGTTTTTCCCCTCTGACACTGCAGAACTAAAGAAAAAAATCCGCTTCGTCATTGGGCACCAAATAAACTAAACTTTTGGTGCTATGTAGCTTGTAGTCTAAAGTAACAAAAAATATTTACGTTGTTTTACTGCCGCAGCAGTAGCTTCATGCATGGATCCGAAAATTTGGCTGAGCAGAATTTCGCCCCCTTTCAATTGACGGGCATGAACAAACCGGCTCCAGCCGCGTAATATTTCCTGCGCGAATGCTGTGTGAAATCAACTTTTTTCAGAGCTAGTCAGGGGCTAGCGTGCACTTATTGGTAGAAAAAATAAACAAATAAACGTAGTTTTTGTGTTAGCTACAGAGGCCGGAAAAGTCAAACTGTCACGTTTTGCCCCGTGTCTCAATTTACTCCACCCTATCATACCTTCTTTTTTTCACTTTTCTGAATCGTCACTTTAGTCCTGGGAAAAATGAAGATGACAGGGATTTGAAACGCTATGGCATACAGACAGGTATACAAACAACACCCTGTAATAAAAGAAATAGCTGATCTGGATGAAAGAGCGGGCGGATGGCACTGACGAGAAAGACACTGCTGCCTTGCGCGTTGAATGTCCAGGTGCGAACAGCCCTGACAGGAGCGATTCTGCCGGAACACCATTATTTTTTTTCTTTTCGGTGGTACGTTAAGCCTGCTTTACTCCCTCCTTTTGCCTGGCAAAATGAAGCTGTAAAAAAATTAGCGACATCTTCCCAAAGGAAACCCTGATGGGATACGAAGCAGCATCGTTGCGCACGGTGATTCGGCGGAGGGCGCGCAGTGCTTCCGAGACGTTGCCGACGACAACAACGTCGAGGATTTGCCGACGTTGGCCATCCGCTGTCGGCGCTTCCACTCGGCTTCCGTAGTTCGCATCTTGTAGGCGTTGCCGTTGCGCTGAAGGCGCTTGCACCCGGCTTCTTTGACTCGCGCCTCGTTGGCGTTTTCCTCACGCCGTCCCCATTCTCAAACGCGATCGGCGCGCTTGACTCGCACCTCGTCCGTGTCGTTGCTCTTCCACTGCCGACGCTTGCATTCGGCTTCCTTGGCTCGCGCTTCTTTAGGGTGGCTGGCGCGACGTCGCCATTTGTGAGCGTGATCAGCTCTGCTAACATTCGCAACGCCGGCCACAATAGGGTTAGGGTAAATCGCTTCGGCGCATGTTTCGGTGGGCGAAGGAGCTTTGCTTTCGCTTAGTTCACACCGAAGCATCCGCTTTCTGCAGCGAGCAAAATTCTCCTGTCGGCTCAATGCAGTGTCGTTAGCAGTGGATGCGCACCGCACCACCGAATTCGTTCAATAGCCATGGCGCGCCATCTGCTGAGTGAACAATCAACAACGGGGCGAACACGGGATGGATACGCTGCTCCCCGGAGGTTGTCGGTGACTCGTAATTTCAGTGCGCCCCTGAATAGAAGATCTTTTTTCTTTTGCGCGTTTCAACGCTTGTTGCAACTCTGAAGAGAAAGGCAACTACATCACAAGGTGCTCGCGATTTAAGGAGCAAAGCAACATAGGTACATGAACGCGTTCTTACCAGTCAATCCGAGCACGTTTTTTATTTTATTCGACAACTCGTTTTTTTGGAAGCTGTCCTTGTGCATGGGGTGGCTTTTGTCGTATAGAACGGGGTGGCTGCACACCAATTCAATGAGCATTTCTGCTAAGCGCACGTTACTTGACTGTGACATGACGAGCCAGTCGTACTTGGCCGCAATATTTTTCAAATTCATCGGCTAGCGCTCATATGGGTTCGCGGCAAGCCTATCCGGTGGCACCCGCCACAAAAATCCGTCCGAGAGTGATTGGCGTGGGGAGGGCCCTTTCGGCGGATCTCGCCACCGCCTAATTGAATTCGGCGGCCAGAATGCTCAGTGTGAACGAATCATTTCCGGCATCCTTTCTGTCGCAGATAAACGAGCCGAAACGCTCGAACGTTGTGATCGGTGGAGAGGGTGAAATGCGACAGAGGTGACACGTGGTGAACTCGCGGCAAGCGAGGGAGAAGTGATGTCACCGCGCACTGCGAGGGAAGGCGTGACCCACTTGGCATTGAGTAGTATTGAAAACTGGGCAAGTTGGTAACGATTCAGAGCTGGTCGAGGTTAACAGCGCAAAAAGTGAAGACAGGGTAAAGCAGGGACACAAGACGAGCGCTGCCTTGTGTCCTTTCCTTACTCCGGCTTCGTTTTTTGCGCTGTTTACCTCGACCTACCTAGCACCAGCCCAACACCTGCGGTGAGGTGAAGATGGTGCGGCGCGTTGGCACGGAGACACGGTCAGACAGCGTCACACAGGCTAGTCAAACAGCTGCATCGGTTCTAAAAAAGTTCGATTCGCATGATATATACCGACTTTGGCGCAAGAGCGTGACGGGGCTCTGTGTGACTGAATCATGCCGCTGACCAGGGCGGCGCAATTGAGGTCGCGTGGTCTGCTGGAGCTGAACCTCTACACTTCCGCCTGTGGTTTTAATCACTTGTCCGGGCCCGTTGTATTACTGGAACGGCAGGAAATAGACAGTGGGCGTATACTAGTTCAAAAACACGACGGACAGCTTGGTCCACAGAGAAGCCCCCTTCGTGTTGACACAGTGTGCAATTATCCCTTTTCGCAATGCAGAGCGGTCAAGGGTGCAAGACGTACGCATTCGGTCGTGGTAGCAGAGGCAGTCAACCGTGTGCTGGTGGCCCCGGTAGACGCGGGTGCATTCGCCGAACTCCATGACCCACGCTCGGGCGGTGCTGTCCGAGCTGCCGGAATAAAGCATCTTGCTGTGCGCCTGCGCACAAATTCGTTTTTGCGCCACTCTTACTCGAGCCTTCAAACCAAGGCGCAATGCGCGACGCACTGCTGCGAATGCTACAGCAGGCAGTAAGAGCACCGCGTAGATGCAGTTAGGCCACTACGTTATGCGATGCGTTCCTAAAATGCGAGAATGTGAATTCAAATACGACTATTACGTACATTGAAAGGTTTATGGTTGACAAAAATTACGGCACACCGCATTCACTATGACTATGATGTTGTTATAGATAACAAATGTATTGTGGCGAAGAAAATAGCCTCCGTATTTTTGTGTAGACTCATCATGTTCCTATATAGATATCACACTCTACTCTTTTCAATGCTTCTATACAGCCTCTCGCCATCATCTAAAACCTGGCAGTCCCAGTAAGGACGCCTAAATAAATTGATTTTTGTATCTCCCTCCCAACCCTGCCGACTAGGCTCCTATGTTTTGGTTATTCGAAGAAAGAATGTAAGCGTTGATTTAGACCCATTTGCCAGAGTCCGTGTCGTCGAATGTGCTTTCAAAGTGCACTCATGCTTATAGTGTTGCTTGGAAATGAATCAATCAATGAATCAATCAATGAATCAATTAATCAATCGATCAATCGATCAATCAATTAATCAATTTCGTATATTTTCTAACTGTTACAGTGGAGCTATTAGTCGGGAAAACACAGTAATGTAGCTTTCAATCTCGGTGGTTTCACTCACGAGCAAGCAAACAATGGGTCCCTGGTGTCCAGTGAGCACGTGCTGGCATTCACCGCTGCGAACGTGCCAACTCCTGATTACGCCATCACCGCCACCCGTGAACACGTAGACTCCGTCAGCATCCACTTCCATGGCGTTGATGGGCGCTGTGTGGCCACGTAGAATCTGCAATGCGGCCAGGACTTGACTGTGGGTGAACCGCAGCCTGCGCAGATTCAGTTCAAGGACCAAGTCTACGGCCCGGTAGTGAAACGGTTCAACATGTTGTTAAAAAAAAAAAAGAAATCGTGTGACTTTAAATCCGTAAGCGTGTGTGTACATGCCGACTCCACGAGAAAACAGTGTGGCCACCGGTTCACTGTCACGTAAGACGGACGGCTATAACAAAATACACGTGTGCTGCGTTGCATGTGTAAAACAAGAGTAATTTTCTTCGCACTGCAGTGCTTTTTTAAACTTTCTACCTACGCTCAGAAGGTAAATTGGTAACAATATTCGCTGGGGTAAAGCTCAACACCGACGGTCGTACAATGGAAAGATGTCTAAATTATGTGGGTGGGTTGTGCGAGTGAAACAAATCTAACGTAAGTGGATAACGCTTTCTATGAAGGCCTTTATCAAACAGTGCATAGTGCTAGAATAAAAGCCTACTCAAAAACATGATGCAAGGCCGACATGAAAAACTGAAGAAATCGAGAAAATTTCAACTTTGCGAGATTGTAATGTTAAAGCTTGATGCACTGATTCTGAAACGCACCTTTCAGGCGCTGAAAAACCATATAAAAAGAAGGTGAAAGACGCCGTGTCTATGGCACTCGGCAACGACCATAACGCTCCAGAGATCGCCGTAACAGCGCATCTTGCCGCTGATTCTGCGATTACGCATCGCTTAGACAAGTCGAAGAGGAGATTCCGCATAGAATTTTTTGTGGTAAGCTGTTGAACGTAATAAAAAAAATATATGAAAGAAACCAAGGCCTTGACATCAACACCGACAGTTCACTATGCTTGAACTCCTCTGCCCCCTTCCGCCACTCCCCCAAAATGGAAAGAAAACGAATAAAGGTGCATTATAAATGTACCCTCTAGACTCCGCCAAGTAACACTACTGCAGAAAGAATAACGGAATTGTCGCAAAGTTGTGTTCATAAAAAAATAGTTTCAACTTGTTCTTTTAAGTGCGTTCATCATCTTGAACCTGATGAAATACACAAGAAAACATTAAATAACAGGGTGAATTGATCGAGAGTTTGTTTTTTTGTGAGACAAAATATACTGATACCAACATTTGATCAAGCTGACGAAGGTATTGTCCCCTACAGACATTCCTTACCTTCATTATCTGTTGGAGGCATTAGATCGCGTCATTGAATGTAAATTATGCAATTAGCCGTATTTAGTATAGATGAGTTGTCCTAAAAGCTTCAAAAAAAAGCACAGGGTTCTCGTGACCTCTAGTCGAGTTCAAGGCTATTCATCACTGTATACATCACGCGGAACGATTTCATAGACAGTACAGTAGCTGATTGCGAAAATTCTTAGTTTTGCTTTTGTTCTTTTCTCGAGACTCCCGGCTACTATGGTGACCCCAATCCTTGCCCGTTCCTCTAGTTGGGGCTTGATATCAGTAAGGCGAAGTCCAAGCACTCCGTATAGTGACCTGGTAGCATCGGATCGGTGGAGCGTGGTGGTAGCCGTCGCAGTAATTGCTCACATCGTTTTGTCCACTGCGACGAGCCCTGAAGGGGGCGCGAAATAAAAACCCATCCATCTGGCGTTCCACGAACGCCTTTCGGAAGCTCGCGTGTCCGGCGTCCTCATCCGGCCAATCTCGACTGTCTTCCGCAGGAAGCTGTGTTCCCCAACTTGGCCACCGGGCTCTTTCCGCCTGTGCAGAGCAACACCGACTTACACACGGACCACACTGTGCCTTTCATACAACAGCCTCTACATTATACTGCCGGCGACTTGCGCGTTGCAGCAATTGATTTCGCAGCGAAAAGTGCGGACAGCTGTTGTGAAAAGGGTTGCGATCCATGGCATTGCCACGTTTTCACGTAATGCCTCGGCGTAAATTTAACTACTCCGTTTTCGGTTCACCGTCTGCTTGCAAGCCTGCAGCAGATGACTCCCGGCTCGACGTGTCAGGAAGGAATTATGGGAAAGGAGGGACCAGGAGAGAGCTGATGATTTGTGGCTGCCTGCACGAAAGAGGTATTCAACCCCGGGAAACCAGGTCATCGCCACAGTCATCTTCCTGCCATGAATAACATGCCCCGACCTCTAAAATATTGCGGCATCGTGGTTCCAAGGGCAGCGTGAGCAATCTGCGGCAACGCGACTCGCAAAAGGCTATCGTGTCCATACGGGAACGTTTCAAGTTGCCCGCGGCAAGAATGGTTGAATAGTTCACAGGGGAATCAATTGCAGCACAAAAAAAGAACATTATAAAAGATTGCTGGTATAATAAGTAAGTTTTTCCATGTAAATAGTAAAGAGACATATGGCAGACGACCCTAATTTCCCCGGGACTGGTTCTTCTAAAGTCAAGCCATGTCCTATAAATTTGGACCCACCTCATATCTCCTAAAATGCGTTGTAATGATTATGGATAACACGTAATGTGGGAAATATGGTATAGGCTACCACTGAATTGTGGCCAGTTCATTAAAACGGTGAATTTTCCTATCTCCGGGCAAGTTTCACTGCCTTGACATTGTTGTAAAGAAAACAAAATTGAGACTTTTAGATTCTCCTAATTTATTTAAATATTTGATACATTTGGTGCTGATTCTTTTTCTTTTATATTTTTGCCACTGGATGCTTCTCTTCTCAAGATTATAAAAACTAAAAGCACAAGAAAACCTGATAGCATCGAGAGATAACGAGGTACCATCAATGTGATCGCAATTTCGATTGAGGCGAAATTGTAGAGGCCTGTGTTTCGTGCAATCTCAGTGCACCTCGAAGAACACCAGATGGTCAAAACTGCCAGAGCTCTCCGCTATGGCATGCCTCATAATCCCACCGAGGCTTTGGCTCGTGAAACTTCAGATATTATTATTATTATTATTATTATTATTATTATTATTATTATTATTATTATTATTATTATTATTATTATTATTATTATTATTATTATTATTATTATTATTAGGAAAGATGAAGGGTTACGATGTTTGGTACACGAACAAAAGTAAGGAGAAATTTGGCTCACGGGCAGGAAACGCAAATGTTAGAAGCTCTATTTGTTAACGGGTGTTATGCTAAAAGAGTACACAGCATTAGAATTGGGGCCTCAAAAGTGTGCTGCCCCAAAAAACTGCTTGTACTGGCTTTGGGTCACGCGGGAGGTGCGGGTTTCAGAACCCGCTCTAACGTTCAGGTCTCGCAGTTGCAGCGCTACGGTGGCTAGAAAAGTAAACTACTGGAATGACAATTACGATAATACAGAAATTAGCCCTCTGTGCACGTATTATTTAAAATTGTTTTTTTAGGAGTTGCAGGAAGGAAGGACGAAGCATGTGAGCACCCAGGCAGGTTAACCAGGCACATAATCAGTAGGCTAGTACGCTAGGGGAATGAGAACGGGGAGTAAAAGGATTATAGAGGAAGGGAAAGAAAAAGAAATGAATAATAATTGCCCGGCAGCGGTGGTGTAGCGGTGGCGCTATGCAAAAGTCAAATGCGCTGTTATATAATGAGAAAAAAAAAGGCGCAGATTATGTCAGCCAAACGCCGGTAGGTTTTCGGGTGAGTTGCAGTTCTTTGAGCGCAGTTTATGATAAATCCTTGTCATATACCTCACTAGATACGTGCGCAGGCACGCCTGTGGTGTACTGAGCATTACGTTATCAAGTTCTTTATCGAGTAAAACAATTTAATAGTAAGCGCTCATGTAGTCTTCTTCTCGTATTTTGTCTTTTTGCGCTGCAGTCTATATCAAAAATGAACTAACAAGCCCAAGAAAGCATTTTTGTTACGTTGTGCAATGAATTCGCTGCCATATGGTGTATACAAATTCCAGAGAGTTGTAGTGAAACGAATTTGCTGGTAGGGAGTAAGTCGGGACAAAATGAGACGTGGGGTGAAATGAGGGACTTTGGCCTGGCGGTCATCTATACCTAAAAGAAATAGGTTGTGGTAGTGTTCATCATCTCATCAAGTGCCGCCTATTGACCATTTCCTTTCATAAACAACTCCGTGATTGTTCAAAGGTTTCATACGGGAAAAATGCGCTGTTGTCCCGCCACAAACTCTTTCACTATATATATATATATATATATATATATATATATATATATATATATATATATATATATATTGCCACGTTCCATTTCCCATGTTTTCGTTATCGTCCCAAAACACCACACGATTCTCAGCGCAAACCGCGCCTGCAGTTTTTCAGAAGGTTCCGGACTGTAGTAGATCATTTCGATAAAATCACGCCCACTGTGCGAACGGTAAAGATTGTTCTGGAACCTACGCCACCGCCAGCGATAACGCTAGAACATTCGATGGCAAGAGTATAAATGCCGACGCGCTTCGCCGCTTGCCAGTTGTTGTTGTTGATCGAAGGCCGACGCTCCGTTCGCCGCTATCAGTCCGAGACTGCTATTTGTGCAAGACTGCTGCTGTAATTGGACTTTCCGTTTACCGGGCACAGGTTCGCCCAAATAAACAGTTAAATCCCGACACGAAGTCTCCTGTCTTCGGCCACGTCACGACCTCGTGACATCTGGTGGAGGTGCTGCTTCGTTCATGTACCGGACGCCCCCGTCAAGCCGTGAACCCAGCCCACGTCGCGAAGATACCGACGCAAACCCAGAGCAGCGAACAAGCCGCCGACAGCAAGGTCTCCCACCGGAGTACGGGCTTCTACAACACAAGGCGCGGAAGGCCAAGGCCATGACCTCTACTGCAGCGACTATGACAACCGGAGCGTCCCAGCCCGCGATCGTCATTCATCAACCCAGGGAACCACCAACGTTTCATGGGTCATCGTTTGAAGACCCGGAATCCTGGCTAGAAACATACGACCGTGTGGCCGCCCTCAACCACTGGGACAACGAAGAAAAGCTCCGTCGTGTGTACTTCTACCTGGAAGACACCGCAAGGACCTGGCTAGAGAATCGGGAGTCCACGCTCCGAACGTGGGATGTCTT